TTTTATATCTTCTTCTATTTCTTTTTAGTGTCCTATAGTTTTCTGCAAATAGGTCCACTACTTCTTTGGTTAAGTTTATTCCTAGGTATCTTCATTTTTTTGTCGTGATGGTAAATGGGATTTTTTTAGTTTCTATTTCTGTGAGTTCATCATTGGTGTATAAAAATGCTGTTGATTTCTTGACGTTAATTTTGTATCCTGCTACTTTGCCAAAGTCATTTATTAAGTCTAGTAGATTTTTGATGGAGTCTTTAGGGTATTCTATGTATAATATTATGTCATCTCTGAATAATGAGAGTTTCACTTTCTCCTTTCCAATTTGGATCTCTTTTATTTTTTCTTCCTGATTGCTGTGGCTAAGACTTCCAGTACTATGTTCAATAAGAGTGGTGAAAGTGGGCATCTCTATCTTGTTCCTGTTCTTAAGGGAAATGCCCTTAGTTTTTGCCCATTGCCTACTCCTCCTTTAAAACCAAGGTCAGGTATAACCTTCTCTGAAACCTTTTTTTTTTTTTTTGGTTAAAAAACTTATTAATCTTCACCCAAGGATATTTTTTTTCTTTGATTGTGAGAGAGAGTGGAAGGGAGAGGGAGAGAGAGAAACATTGATGTCAGAGGGGCACATCAATTGTTTGCCTCTCTCACATACCTCAACCAAGGTTGGGAATCTAACCTGCAACCCAGGTACATGCCCTTGACCAAGAATCAAACCTGTGACCCTTTACTTTGTGAATTGATGCTCTAACCATGGAACCACACCAGCGAGAGCTCTGAAACCTTTCTTGATTCTTACAAAGATATTCTATCCTCTGTACTTTCACTTAATTCTGTTTATAGCTCTACATGTAACTTATGTGTATTCATTTTACTGTAATTGGCCACTTAAATTTTTTAAACTAAAAGACACCAAAATTTTTTTGTTGTACCACTATTAATAAAATTTTAAGCACAGATATATATGTCATTCACATGTATTACTGTACTAATGTACATTAAACAATTTAAGCAGAAATAGAAATTTTTTTATTTGTTTTTGTTAGTTCTCATCTGAGGATAGTTTTTCCATTTAGAGAGGGTTGAATGGAGGGAATAAGGATGAGGAGAGAGAGAGAGAAACATTGATATGAGTGAGACACATCAATTGGTTGCCTTCTTCATGCATCCTCACTGTGCCAGGGACCAAGCCTACAATCCAGGCATGTGCCCTTGATCAGAAATCAAACCTACAACCCTCCAATGTGGGCCAACGCTTTAACCACTGAGCAATGATGGCCAGGACCAGAAAGAGAAATTTTTACACAATGAGTTGAACATGAAGTACAGACTTTTAAAATAATTTTGAAATTTTGTATTTATAAATAATACACTTTAACATAATTATAAAATAATTTTATTGCTCAGCTGGTGTGGCTCAGTGGTTGAGCATCGACCCATGCCCCAAGAGATCACCCATTTATTCCTGGTCAAGACACATGCCCAGGTTGTGGGCCAAATTCCCAGTGGGGGGCATGCAGGAGGCAGCCAGTCAGTATTCTCTCTCATTGATGTTTCTCTTTCTCCCTCTTCCTTCCTCTCTCTCTAAGAATCAATAAAGAAAAAAAAAATTTTTTAATAATTTTACTGTATATAAAATACTTTTTCTATCATATATTATCAATAATCCTCTGAAAACTTAGTTTCTATTGTCTTATCAATTATGATGACTTCATTTCATATATCATCATTAGGTAATACCTCCAGACACAATATGCATTTAGGACGAATTATTATTATGATTATTTTGGGTAACTATTTGTAATCCTAACTTTGTTATAAACATAGTTATACTAGTCATTGTCATTATGTGGCAAAGTGTTTGTAATGAGAATAAGAGATGTGTCAGTTGTACTTACATTATTTATATTATCTTTGATCTGTGATTTTGCAAGATTATATATTAATTATTTATACAAAAAGCATAGAAAAATAATATAAGTATTCATGTCCCCACCACTCACCTCAAATAATAAAACATTAGGCCTGACCTGTGTGGCTCAGCGGTTAAAGCGTCAGCCAGTGCACCAAAGGGTCAGGGTTGAATTCCCATCAAGGATACATACCTGGGTTACAGGTTCACTCCCTGGCCCTGGTTGGCATGCATGCAGGAGGCAACCAATGTATGTGCTTCTTTCACACTGATGTTTCTCTCTCTCCTTCCTCCCTCCCTTTCTCCCTCTCTCTCCCTCCTCCCCCCTTCCCATCTCTCCCTCCCTTCCACTCTAACAATGAATCGGAAAAAATATTTTCATGTGAGGATTAACACATGTAATGGAAGCCCTTTCTCATTTTGTGAGGACTCATTCAGATACTACAAGATATTCATGATCCACTTAACTAAAGCACACATAAAATTTAGTACAGTGGAACCTCAGTTGTCGAACTTAATTTGTTCCAGAAGGCTTGTTCAAGAAGCAATTTGTTCAGCCCTGGCCGGTCTGGCTCAACGGTTGGAACGCTGGCCTGCAGTCTGGAGAGACCTGGGTTTGGTTCCCACTAAGGGTGCGTACCTCGGTTGCAGTTTGTCCCCGGCTCTGGTTGGTCCGTGTGGATGGTGACCACTCGATATGTCCCTTTCACGTTGATGTTTCTCTCTCTCTCTCTCTCCTTCCCACTCTATCTGAACAAAATATCGAAAAATGTCCTCGGGTGAGGATAAAAAAAAAAAGCAATTTGTTCAAAAGCAAATCATTTTTTCCCATTAGAAATAATGTAAATTGGATTAATTTGTTCCAGATCCCCAAATGATTCCCTGTTTTAACCTTTCTTACATACAGCACATGTCTAATGCACTGTTTAATCTCTAAACAAACACTTATTTTCTTAAATTTATCAAACCACCCCTAGGAGGTCAGTATTTGGCAACTTTGCTTTTTCTCTTATCACTGTCTCCGAATTGCTGTCACCTTATGCTTTCCTTTATCCCATTCAACAAGAGCTTTTCTACCTCTTTAGTTGCCCATGATCATTGTTTCTTTCACACCCTTACCGACATCAGCATTCTTGATGGCCTCTTTGTGTTTTTAAAATTGTGCTAATCATCCATTTCACCACCACCTCCAACAACAACAACAACAACAAAATTATTTACACACATACATATATATTTATTCATTCACGGAGTAATTTGCTCAGATGTTAACAAGGCAAGGTTTAGCTGTAAACTGACTCATAAAGGTCCATTCTCTCCTTTGTGACCTGAGAGATGCTTTTTGTCATGCTGATGTATCAGCATGAAATGGTTGTCAGGTTGAGAACCGAAGTTTTAATCCACAATGGAGACATTTTTTTCCATGAACAGCTTGGTGGAGAACTGAATTGTTCAATGTAAGAAAGAGGTGGAACGAGGCAGTGCAGGGTCTCCAGAAGTGCAGGTTTATTGGGGAAAAGACCGGCCAGGCTACCTCTAAGGAGAAAATAGCAACGGGCTTCTACAGACTAGGGATTTTTAAACTCAGGCCTGAGGGTTAGTCATTCAGCCGAGGAGACGAGACATGGTCATCTTTGATTGCTCGCACCTGGGGTCTCCTGAGTTCTTGATTGGTCAGGGGCTGGGGTCTCCTGAAACTTGTTTTTCTTGTCAAGCGACCGTTTGCAGTTTGGGGTGGGTTAGGGTAGTCCATCATTCTGTTCAGCCTGACTGGAGTGATGGGTTTTGGTTTTCTGGAATGAGAGGCTTAGGGAAAGGTTAAACCATAAGAGTGATGGATTTTGGTTTCTTGGAATGAGAGGTTTAGGGCAGTAATATGGAAGTTAAGAGATAACATTCAAGATGGGAAATGTTTGAGAACTGAGGTTTGACTGAAGGTTTGCACTGAGGTTTGAAGAAAGCAAAAGTGCACTAATGAATAACACTGCCAACCTCACACACTTAGACTCTCTACTCTTGCTCCAAGATAACTTTGTTTCTGTGTTTAGTATATGACCATTTACCTTGCAGACTGACAATGGAAGCAGTGTTAACCATATATGACTGACCTGGCCAAGGTTAGAAATTCACATGTGCATGTGCCCCGGACCAAGTTAAATTATACAGGATTTTCAACTGTGTGGGTGGTCAGCACCACTAAAAGCCCCCCACCTCGAGTTGCCCAAGGGTCAACTGTATGACATAGTATAAAGTTTAATTATTAAGTTTTAGATCATAAATAGAAAGTACAATTGTAATATGTTCTTTCTGCACAGCAGTGATTTATTTTGGTGTTGGCACCACACTTTGAAAGTCACTGCTCTGAACTAAAAACACCTCAAAAGCAGGTATATTTTTAAATTTTTTTAATTAATTTTTTAGAAAGGAAGGAAGGGAGATAAAGTTTATTGTTCCACTGATTTATGCATGCATTGGTTGATTCTTTTTTATATAATTTTTTCAATTTATTGATTTGAGAGTGAGAGGAAGAGGGAGAGAGAGAAACATCAATTTGTTGTTGCATTTATTGGTTCCTTTTCTTAAAAAATATTTTTCTTTACTCATTTTTAGAGAGAGAAGAAGGGAGAGAGAAAGAGTGAGAGAAAGAACATCAATCAGCTGCCTTCTGCACGCTCCCCCTCCCCAACCGGGGATCAGCCTGCAACCCCCTGCATGTGCCCTGACTGGAAATTGAACCGGCAGCCTCTTGGTATCTTGGTACATGAGTCAATGCTCAACCACTGAGCCACACCGGCTGGGGTATTGGTTCCTTTTTGTATGTGCCCTGACTGGAATGAACCCACAACCTTGGCATGTGGGAATAACGCTCTAACCAAATGGGCTATTTGGCCTGAACCCAACAGAGATTTTGTTTAATTCATCATTGTAACTGTGCCATGCATAGTACATATTAAGAGAATAGTATGTAAAACAAAAAGTTTGCTGACTGAATGAAACAGAGTTTTCTGTAATATTTGAAGGTAATTTTGAAGTTTGTGTTGGATATATACTGATTACTTGTATCAATTTGATATTGTGCTGGCATTTGTTTAAGATTCTACTGTTATGAGAAGAAAACGAATTGTTGAAAATAAACAGAGAAATCTTTTAGAGCAAAAAATACAAAACCCTGGAACTGTAGGACACAAGTACAGTGAACAAACGAATGTAAGTACATGATTAGTAAAAATCTTTATTGAAGTTGGACACTTGCTTGGAAAACAATGTTCTTAAAGGACTGTGCTCTTGCTGTAAACTATGTCCCACAACAGAAATATAAATATATCCAAAGCCATTGTGAAGCAGCCTTAGAATCTCTATGCTAGGAGCTTGCTGTACTATAATTAGTTGCTATATAGTCAACTGTGGGGGAAAAACTGAGATTATTCACAAAAAAACATTATTTAAATATACATTAAGAAAGAAAAAAGAAAAGTAAATTAGATCCATGGATAGAGGAAGCAAGTATTCTAATCATAAAGACTAATACAGTTACCTGTGTTTAAATATCTTATTTAGATCTGAGCTTCCTGGAAGACATGGTAGAAAGGAAAAAAGGATGTTATGTAGATCTCATTTTATATAGATTATGATTTTGTTTGAGGTATACTATTTAAAAGACATTTCCCATTCAGGATCTTCTGTAGTGGACCTTGAAGTTCATATTGGACATATCCCTACTAACAGTCAACAACAAACGAATATGGAGTTTCCTATGGCTGTTTGAACTAGAGATCTTCAATAAAAGTCAAACGCATAATACTATTAATTTTAAAATTAGTGCAGGTAATCCTGTGAGAGCTAAGTAAATGCGACCTAAATATGACATTTTCTAGGAGTCTAACTTGACCCAAGGATTGAATTTAAAATATGAAAAATTCTAGATGGGTGAGTGAATACCATTTCCCTTGGAGTTTCTACTGTAAATATCACTTCTGATTTTTTAAATAAAACTATAACAGTGCCTTATGAAGAATTTATATTTTAAGTTATAGGCTGACAATCCTATTATTTGCATGTTGTTGAAACTATTGATTTTTATATGAACAAGATTATTAATATGGAGAACAATCAACCGTGATATATCTTGTCAGCAAAACAAGTCATTTATATATGCAAATTAAGTTGTCCTATTACCAAAATATTTTTACTGATTAATACCAAACATACTACTTATTATAAACATAACTTCCTAATTACAAATATTAAGTCCTTTTTGATGTTATTCACATCAAACATCTCAATATCTATAAACTAAACAAAATTTTTATTTTTATTTATTAATATATTTTAAATTTAAGTAATATATAACAAAAGTAAAAATAATAAGTAACTTAAAAAACACATAAACTAAATTTTAAATGGCTATTATTAGTGCCCTGCTAAATTCATCTTTATTTTTCTGGGATTTATTTTGTTCTTCTATGTCTTCCTCCTTCACATTTTGTATTAGTCTTTAGAATTCCATTTTTGTTCTTCTTTCCAAAGTCCTTACTTCCACTTTCACATACACATCTTCCGCTCACACACCCACTTCACACATGTTCCAAAGTTAACTTTAGAATACAGTTCATGTTCCTGAATCAGAATCAAATTTGAAGTTTAACTTTTTTCAATTTTTTTGTTTTTCTTTGACTTTGAGTTTGGGATTTGAGGGTGTTGTTTTTTGTTTTTACTCGAACTGTGAGGTTCAGCTACTATAGCACTGGCCACTGTCACCTTGTATTAGGAAATGTATTTTATTATCCCAGATTTTTCCCAACCCACCATTTCCCATTCTGTGTGTTGAGAATCTAAGAGATCAATAAAAAGATAGAAAAAGCACAATTACCACTTTGTGCCAGAGTCAAAGCCCAAGGTATCTCCAGTCCATAACGGAGATGAAGCAAGGCCATGAGAGCTATTAAAGGAGGGCTGTTGCAGACATGTGCATCAGTTACTCGTCAGAACAGACTGAACAAAGGCAAGGTATGGTCATAGCCAGGCCATTTTATCTGTGAAAAAGTCGTTTTTTAAAGTGGAACAGAATGGGAGTAAAGAAGCAAAGTAGAAGATAGCCAGGGTAGGAGAGTTGGTATCCCTCAGAGAGTGTTGAATGGGTGTCCTAAGTGCCAGTGCTCTGAGATTTCCCATTTCCCAGTTCTGTGCAGCACTGAGGCAGCTATTTCTGACTTAAGTTTTGTCATCTAAGATACTTAACCTGTCCTCGGCGTTAGGCTAGGAGTTAGTAGTGATTCACCCGTACTATGATAAATCAACTAGTTTGTAAAACTTAAGGTAATTTTTAAACTTTCCTTTAATTAGCACTTTTGATGGCCACCCAACTTACTTCACTCTTCCAGATATCAAAGACAACACTGCAACCTGAAAAGTTTTCAAAATTGAAATAAAACATTTTTTAAAATATTCAGGTACCATAGAAAGGCCTTGTTTCAGTAATTTTTTATTTCTACTTTTTTTTTTTTTTTTTTTTTATCCTCACCCGAGGACATCTCTCCATTTTTTGTACAGCTAGAGTGGGAGGGAGAGAGAGGAAGAGACAGAGAGAGAGAAACATCGACGTGAAGGGACACATCGAGTGGCTGCCACCGCACAACCAACCAGGGCCGGGGACAAACTGCAACCGTAGTACATGCCCTTAGCGGGAACCGAACCCGGGTCTCTCCGGACCGCAGGCCGATGCTCTAACCGCTGAGCCAAACCGGCCAGGGCTATTTCTACTTTTAAAAAAGGAAATACACAAGTTACATGAATAGTGATAGCGGAAAATATATACAGCAAATAATACTTTTTAAAAAGTCAATGTATATATCATGAATTTTCAATACAGAATTATGTTGATTTAATATTCTATTTTTATAGAATTTTGGACAAAGTATCCAGCAAAATTCAAGTGAGCCAAAACAAACTAAAAGGTGTACTTTAGAAGAAGGTATGTTTTAGTTTAAACATTTACTCTGACCTTTGTTCCCCGTGATGTTTTTTCTTAATAGGTATTTTCCCAAATACTTACATACTATGTGAGAGTTAAACCACCCTTTGGGGCTTAATTCTCTTCATCTTGCACATGTGGGTTGCCAGTTTTTCTTTATTCTACATCAAGCTTTTTCCTGATTTTTCAATTATTTTTATAAGGTAGATTTTCAAAATTAAAATTACAATAATTGGCATGTAATTGGCACCTAGTATTTATTGAATGAAAGTCTGTATTAAATAAATTCTGGGTCAAAGCATATAAGCATTGTTACGGTTTTTCATACATATTACTATTTTCCTGAGTATATTATTATTCAGAATTCTCTGGGATGTGTACCAACTTGAGGTAAATCACTTTTATTATTTGCTTATATCACAAGAAAAGAAATGATGTTTTGTTAGTTTTGATTTGTACATGTTTTATTATGCTTAATCGTTTTTGTATGTATATTTTTGGTGAATTGTTTCTTCATATTCTTTTTCCCTGTAAATATTGCAAATTTGGTATTTTCTTACCAATTTCTGTAAATTCTTTAAATGTCAAGGATTCTAATTCTCATATTAGTTGCAGATATTTTTACTTTATTATTTGCATTTCATTGCATTTATGTTTTATTTTTACATAAGAGGGTTTTTTTTTTCATTTAATAAATGATTATTGAGAGTTAATTTCCTGTCTTTAGCTAAATATTAGATATACAATAATGAACAAAACATACAAAATCTTGCCCTTCAAAAATTTAAAGTCTATTAGGGAAGACTGGCCTGAAATAAACATGTTTTTAGGGGGATTTTTGGTGATTTCTCCATTACTTTTAAGCTCAAAGATCTTCTCAATATAGAAATTTAGATAGAAATGTTTCTTTTTTCTCTAGAACTAGATGCTTTAATAGTTTGGGTCATTAAATTTAATTCTATAAATTTTTTTGGCATTTGTTTAAATGGATGGTGTGAAGTGAAACTCAAAATTGATTCTTTTTAAACAACAAATTTATTGTGTCGTTTTTCTTTCTCTCTTCTTTGATCATATGTTAAGTTCTTATATCTAATTTGATCTGTTTCTAGGCTGTCCTTTTCAGCTGATCATCTAATTTTCTAAGCTTTCCTTAAGTTTCTTTTCTCTTACTCTTTTATTTATATTAATATTAATTGCATTGTAAAGACAATCTACTTTGTCTTCTCTTTGTACTACCAATGAATGACAAAACACACACACACAAAATTTAAACAGAATGTATTTTTCTTTACTTCAGTTAACACTCTATAGGAATTGTTATTATCGTAATGCCACCTTTTGAATATCTGTCTTTTAAATTAGGGATGGGGAAGTGCTAGATACAGAGGATTCTGGTAAACAAAATGCAAAGTAACAAGATTCACTAGGTTTCTGTTAGTGAAATGAATACACGCAGACATGTCAGTTAAGTATGTTTAAGTGCTGATCCTAAAAACAAATAGGGATCAAAGAACAGTTAATGTACAGTTTCTTTAGTTTCAGACAGTACTTCTGAGTTTCTGATTGCTGAAAACCTAGTAAAATCTTCAGCGCCTGAGAATGAAATTCTAACTATCATGAGTAGCAAGCAGCTACAGAAACCAAATCTGGCTTTAAATAATACCCAGCAACTGGACATTTGTGCAATATCAACTGAAGAACAGAAGATCCTGCAGTCCCTTAATCGTCTCAATGAAAGGTTATACAGTAAGTGTGGAAGAACACTTTTTGTAAGAAAGGTTATATTTTAGACTTAGACTATTTTAATTTAAAATTTAATCTAACTGCCCGGCCAGTGTGGCTCAGTGGATTAAGCATCATCCTATGGACTGAGAGGTCCATGTTCAATTCCCAGTCAGGGCTATTGCCGGGGTTGCAGGCTTGATCCCCAGTAGGGGGCGTGCAGGAGGCAGCTGATCAGTGATTCTATTGCACATCAATGTTTCTATTTCCCTCTCCCTTCCTCTCTCTCTAAAAAAATCAATAAAAACATATTTTTTAAATTAACTTAAAAATTGAAAATAAAAATACAAAATGTATCCAGATTATCACCTCTTAAATCAAGTACATAACAATTAAGAATATTTTCAATAAGTCATACTATTTTACCATACTCATATTCTGTTTATAAATAAGATATTTAAAACATAAGGATATGGAAAATCTTAAAGTAAAAAAGATAGAAAGTATGGAACAAGCAAATTCTAACTAAAGGAAACTGGTTTAGATGTCTTATTAGACAAATTTGACTATAAAGCAAAAAGCATTATTGTACATACACAAAAATAACTTTGTGATGGTCAGAAGTTTTGATTCTGGAGAAATATATGCAATATTTGTATGCATTTAAAAACACAGCCTCAAAAATATATAAAATATTTTTTAATCGTGGTGAGAGATTTTTTTTTTTTTTACATTGTCAGTAATTGCTAGACTAGACCAACAAAATCAAATCGAATATATAAGAATAAAACATGATTAACAAATTTGATCAAAGGGACATGTTCTTTTTAAGCACACAGAATATTTATAATAATGAACCAGATATTATACCTTAAAACAAACCTTGACACATTTCAAAGGATTGAAGTTATGCATATCCTCTGACTATGCAATTTTTTTTTTTATATCCTCGCCTGAGGACATTTTTGCATTTATCTTCAGATAGAGAGGGAGGAAGAGAGAGAGAGAAACATTAATGTGAGAGAGACACATCAACTGGTTGCCGCCTTCACGACCCCAATGAAGGCTGGGGACAAACCACAACCAAGGTACGTGCCCTTAGCAGGAACCAAACCCCAGACTCTAACCACTGAACCAAACCGGCCAGGGCTGACTATGCAATTTAATTAAACATAACAAAATTATAACCATTAGGAAACACATTTCTAAATAAACCATTGTTCTTAAAAAATACTATAATGAAAATTACAAAATATTTCCACATGAATAATAACAGTATTTTATGTATGAATGTATTTATCATAGTCTCTCCACCTTGGCACTACTAACATTTTGGGCAAGATAATTCTTTGTTGTAGGGGCTGTCCTGTGCACTGTAAGATGTTTAGCAGCATCTCTGATCTCTCTACCTACTGAATACTACAGTACCCCCCAGTCATGACAAGTGTCTCTTGACATTGCCAAACGTTCCCTGGGTGGCAAAAAATCACCTATGGTTGAGAACCTCTGGGAAAAAAATCCAACATAATATATACACATACATTCCTTTATAACGCATATATAAATATATGTGTATGTATTGTGTGTGTGTATTCCACTTCTGCTTAAAATGTAGATAGCTATAATGTGTCAGTCCTACCCTAAGACTAAGAAAAAGCAAATAAACCACAGAAGTATAGCTTTTCTTAAAAGTGTTAGAGAGCTGAAGGCATGGCACAACCAAGTAGCCTGACATCCAACGAAAGACAGGAACTTCCAGAGAGAAACAAAATGTGACTACTGTCTCACCTGTGGCAGAGTATGGGAGAAAGAAATGCCAGATTCCATACAAGCTGACATTAAGAAGTCTGCTTATATTTTAAACAAATTAGGAAAAGATAAGTGTGAACTATTGTGAGAATATAAAACCCCTGGGAGTCACAGACACAAGAAGAGTTCACACCCACTTGCAGATTGTTTTCCATGAACCTACATTTTTCCTTGAAAAAATGAAGGGGCAAAGCAGGGGATTAGAGCCTCCTCAGTGGTGCAGCCTGGAGGGGAGGAGTAGCTATTGCTGTAGGACAGGCATGAAGCCCCTTGCAGAATCTTCTCTCCTACAAAATAAAGGCCAAAGGTACTGAAACTGAGGCAGCAGGTTTTGTTAATTGCCCCAGAGCATAAGTAAAGACAAGGATGAGGGAAAAGGAAAAAAGCCTCTTCCTGTGGGGGAGAGGCAAGGAACAGGCATGGGCCCAGATCATTAGCTGTGTCCTGCTATTAGAGGAGGGGCACAAAATTATTGCACAAAACTAGCCAAAGGTACAGGCAAAATTGACTGCCATGAGAGGTAGGAGGAGGATGACTAAGACTGAGCCTGCACCAGAACAACAGAAAACTCTACTCCACCCCCACAAGAACAGCAAGTGCTAAGTAACAGTGAAAGAAGTTCGGAAGAGAGGCAATCTCATAGAGAAAGCCTCCTCATATTTTGCAGATACACAGAAAGGCCAAAAGCTGAGAGTTAGAGCCAAGAACATTGAAGAAAGAAACCTCTATGACCCCTGAAGAAGCATAAAAATAACACTAGAGGAATTTGAAACCAGTGGTGTGCCAAAGGGAACCAGAGCAACAACAAAACCAAACCCTGCTCAATTCCTAAGGAAATTAACTTCACGCACACACAACAATTGCCTAGCAGAAGAGGCATATCCATTTCCAGGCTCAAAAACTATTTATCTGAGTATCCACCATTCCAAACATGAAGTCCAGCATTCAATCAAAAATTATGTGACATACAGAAAAAAAGGAAAAAACACTGTCAAAAAATAGAGCAATCAACAGAGTAAGACATAGTGATGACCCAGATGTTAGAACTGTCAGGTAATTTTAAATAATTAAGACAAGTGAAACTTCCGGTCAAGATGGCGGGTAGGTAACTGTGGTCTCCCATCCTCCCACAACCACATCAAAGTTACAACTAAACTACAGAACAACCATCTATCAAAACCGCCTGAAATCAAGCTGAATGGAAGTCCTACAACTACGAAATTAAAGCAGCAGCCACATCCAGACTGGTAGGAGGGGTGGAGGCAGCCCACACCCACGTGTGGCGGATAAAAATCAGGAAGACGCCTCGACTAGGAAGGTCCTTCCTGAGGACTGAGGGGTGTCGTCCCACACCAGGTGCCCCGCTCAGTGTTCCAGTGCCAGGAAAAGAAGTCCCCATAACTTCTGGCTGGAAAAACCAGCAGGAACTGAGGCTCAGGGAAGCTGAAGCAGCTGGAGCCCCAGGCAACTCCTTAAAGGGCCCACGCACGAACTTATCGGACTCTCTCCCTCTAAGCTTGGAGGGGAGGCAGCTCGAGGGGCACCAGAGACATACAGGGAAGAACTGAGCTGTTTGGCACTGGAGCGAGGGCTGGAGAGGGGGCTTTCTCAGGGACAAACGTGCTGTCAGAGGCATTTGTTCCTTTGGTGAGCCCTTCCCTGGGGAGGCAGATAGCCACCATATCTGGGACTCTAGCAACCTGTCTCACACTGGTAACCCTGCCCTGGTGATTCCCTGAGGCCCCGCCCCACCCAACTTTCAGGCCCACCCAAGCTGTTGCCACTTGCTTAACCATAGGATTGGCCTGTCTTAGATCCTGCTTCAGGTTTCTCCTAAATTCTTTCAAATGAGCAGCATCTGGTCTCAGCTAGCCCCATACCTCTCGTGAAGTAATACACAGAAACAAACACAGGGAGGCAGCCAAAATGAGGAGACAAAGAAACAGGTTCCAAATGAAAGAACAGAACAAAACCCCAAGAAAAGAACTAAGCAAAATGGAGATAAGCAACCTAACAGATGCTGAGTTCAAAATACTGTTAATAAGGATGCTCAATGAACTTAGTGAGAACCTCAGTGAACTTAGTGAAGGCCTCAAGAGCATAAAAAAGGACCAGTTAGAAATCATGGATACACAGTTAGAATTGAAGGAGGCATTAACTAAAATAAAGAATAATTTACACAGCTTCAATAATAGAGTATGTAAATCCAAGGAGCAAACCATCAATTTGGAATATAAGGAAGCAAAAAATCCCCAATCAGAACAGCAAGAAGAAAAAAGAATCCAAAAAAATGAGGATAGTGTAAGGAGCCTCTGGGACAACTTCAAGCGTGCCAACATTCGCATCTTGGGGGTGCCAGAAGGAGAAGAGAGAGAACAAGAAATCGAAAACCTGTTTGAAACAATAATGGCAGAAAACTTTCCTAACTTGGTGAAGGAAACAGACATACAAGTCCAGGAAGCACAGAGTCCCAAACAAGATGAACCCCAAGAGGCCCACACCAAGACACATCATGTTCAAAATGCAAAAGGTTCGCCCTGGCCGGTTTGGCTCAGCGGTTGGAGCGTCGGCCTGCGGTACAGAAAGACCCGGGTTCGGTTCCTGCTAAGGGCACGTACCTCGGTTGCAGTTTGTCCCCGGCCCTGGTTGGTCGTGCGGGTGGCAGCCACTCGATGTGTCCCTTCACATCGATGTTTCTCTCTCTCTCTCTTCCTCTCTCTCCCTCCCGCTCTATCTGAACAAAAAATGGAAAAATGTCCTCGGATGCGGATAAAAAAAAATAAAAAATGCAAAAGGTTCAAGACAAAGAGAGAATCTTAAAAGCAGCAAGAGAAAGGCAGCTAGTTACCTACAAGGGAGTTCCCATAAGGCTGTCAGCTGATTTCTCAAAAGAAACTTTGCAGGCCAGAAGGGAGTGGCAAGAAATATTCAGAGTGATGAAAAGCAAGAACCTACAACCAAGATTACACTATCCTGCAAAGCTGTCATTTAGAATCAATGGCCATATAAAGAGTTTCCCAGACAAGAAAAAGTTAAAGGAGTTCATCACCACCAAACCATTATTATATGAAATGATGAAGGGTCTTTTTGAAGAAAAAGATAAAATATATGAACAAACAAAATGGCAATGAATACATATCTATCAACAATGGAATCTACAAACAAAATGAACAGAAACATTCTCATAGATACAGAGAACATTTTGTTGGTTGCCAGTTGGGAGGGGGGTTGGGGAAATGGGTGTAAAAGGTGAAGAGATTAAGAAGTATAAATTCATTGCTAGACTGACAAACCTCAAAGGGAAAGGGGTTGGGGGGTTGGGAAGAAATAAACCAAAGAACTTATATGCATAACCAATGGACACAGACAATAGTGTGGGAAAAGGCGGGAGTGGGGCGGGAGGGAGGAGGAGGGGGTCAATGGGGGAAAAATGTGGAACATCTGTAATACATTTTACATTCAACAATAAAGATTTTTTTTAAAAAAGATCAAAATAAAAAAACACAAGTAACAGGTTATAGTGGAAAAAGTGGACATGGGACAGATAGACAACATGCATGAACAGATGGAGAACTTCAGAAGAAAGAGTCAAATAGAAAAGTAAGAAATAAAAACTGTAACAGAAGTGGAAACTGTTTTCTATGGGCTAATCAGTAAAAACACAGCCAAGGAATCAATGACTATGAAGAAAAGTAATAGAAATTTTCCAAACTGAAACACCAAAAGAGAAAACAAAAAGGTGGGGAAAAGACAAAAACAGATGATCTATGAGTTGTGGAACAATATAAACTAATCCCACAAACATGTAATTGGATTCCCACTGTAAGAAATTGCAGCCTTTTTTTGCTGGGAGAAGGAGCTACTTAGTTTCATAGGAAGTTGGATTTAGGCACAGCTCCTCTCACATGGGGTGAAAACCTGTTTTTGGATCCCAGCTATGAAGAACTTACAGGGTCATTTTGAGACAAGTAGTTTGTCACTCCATATTGGAATACTTGAATACCAGATAGAAATAAATTTAACTCCTACCAAATACCATACATAAAAAATAAGTTACAAAGTGATTAAAAATGAAATGTGAAAGAAAATGTGCAAAGCTTTTAGGGGATAATATAAGTAAGTACATAGTTTCCCGCCTTGGGGTAAGGAAGGATTTTTTAAGCAGAGCAAAAGGAACATAATCCATAGAGGAGAAAATAAATGTGACCATTATTAAAAGTATAAACTTCTATTCATATCAACACGTCATTAAAAGAATGAAAAGACAGGCCACAAAGAAGAGTAACTATAGGATAGGATAAAAGACTCATTGAAAATATGTAAAGAACTATAAATCATTAAGAAAAATAGACAACTAAAAAAAATAGGCGGAAAAAGACTTGAACAGGAATTTCACAACAAAGGAAATGCAAATGACAATAAACATTGATAGTTATTCACCTTCATTAGAAATAGGGAAACACAAATTAAAACAATGAGATATCATATCTTCATCAGAAAGACCTAAATTCAAAAGCCTAGCAATACTAAGTGTTGGTAAAGATGTACACAGTTGGAGCTCACATATAATGCTGGTCGGAGTGTAAACTGGGGCAACCTGTTTAGGAAATGTTTTGCCACCACTTAATATATTGAACGTGACATACCCTGCAACCAGCAGTTTTACTTCTAGATGCATATCCTAGATAAAACCCTGCACATGTACATCAGGAGACTTATACAAGTAAGTAAGTAAGTAATGATACAAGATCATTATCGTTAAAGCCAAACTTTGAAAACTTTAAATGTGCTGCTGGAATACTATTCTGCAAGGAAAATGAACAAACTACATCTACACACATCATCATAGATGAATCTAAATAATATATAATTTTGAGCAAAATAAGGAAAATCACAGGACAGTACAATTTGATTTATATGAAGTTCAGAAACAGGCAAAAGTAAATTCTTTGGAGGATATACATACATATATATATATATTTATATACTCTGTGTTAATTCTAAAATTAAAATTCTTAACATATTAATAAAAGGTAGCTACAACCACAAAAGCTATAAGTTTAAGATGCATAGTTATGCAGATAAAAGAGAAAAAACCCTCAAGTCAGTTTTTTTGGAGGAGTTGTTTCCTGTTATATACTTCCATATATTTAAATGCTTCCTGTAAAAGATTCTGCCTGAATTTTTCTTTCTTTTGCCCAGACCCTTGCTATTATATGGACAAAAACCTAAACATTGAAAAGGCAAGAGTTGACCAAATTACTCAACTTTTTGGTGCCTCAATAGCTAAATAAACATCTCATCTTTCCTGAGATGCTCCAAGAATGAAATTAATTTCTTTGATTTTCTTTTAAAGAAGAAAGGGAAAGAAAACCTAGCATTTGGATAAAGTTTGTTTTAGAATAGCCAAAGTACTAGAAATTTATTTTTATCAACATAAGTTTTATGTATTGTTTTTAATCAAATTACTTCTATTCTCTAACCTAATATAAGTCTAAAGACTACTTCTGGAAGCAATAGAAAAAAGTCTCTTACTCAATTTTGAATATTTTGACACATCAGTATTTGATTAAGTCGTTCTCCTCTTTCAATATACATAACTAAATCATGTTTGTATTATGGTACAATTATTTCAGATGTACAAGAAACCATTTGCAAAAATCCATCCATCAAAAATACCTTGCAAATAACACCATTTCTGGTAAGTATTTTAAGAAGCTTTTATTTTTCCTTTTTAGTAAACGATGATTTTATATATAAGAATACTGTATTGATATTAATTTTTGAGATTGTTTTTTAGGGAGTTTTTCTCCCCAATCATCTTTCAGTTATAACTTGTTCTGTTAGAATGAAGCAAATATACTCTCATTAAAAAAAAAATTGTAAATATTTTTACATCCAGAGTATTTCATCAGTCATGAGAACAGAACAGGTATCAGTGTACTGCTCTTCAAATAATTTTAAATATGTAGCCTAATTGGAAAATTATTAAGAAATTTACATTGGCAGCAATCCCATCCTTGCCCATATCCATTCCATGTCTTCAGAGTTCAAAACTAGACATTACTATTTTGAATTTTGTTGTGGTTTTTTGTTGTGGTGGTGGTTTTCTTGTTTTTAATTATTTTTCTTTATTGATATTAGAGATAGAGAAGAATGGAAAGAGAAATAGAAATATCGATGAGAGAGAACATCAATTGGCCACCTCCTGCATGCCCCCAACTGAGGATTTGGCCCACAACCTGGGTATATGCCCTGACCAGGAATCGAACCAGCGACCTCTTAGTGTATGGGTTGATGCTCAAACACTGAGCCACACTGGCCAGGCTTGAATTTTGTTTTTGGCCTTGGCACTGGATCCTGGTAAAGATATACATATAAATGAAAAAACAGTGACTTGGGAATTTTCGGTCTAAAAGGGAGAAAGACACATGTGGATACTATGTCCAAATAACACTCTAATGCAAGGTAAGCTCAGGCTGTCTTAGGAAATCACAGAAGGAAAAAATGTCTGCCTAGAGGCAGTCAGGAGACATTCAGGTTAATAGAAAGGGCACATCCTCAATTTAGGTGCTCAACAAAGAGGTGTTTTGTTAGAGAATTAATTGCATGTTTGCTCAGTTGTTTTTCCATTATGTACCCTCAATTCTGAAATCTTGACAGGAAAAAATAAGATTATGCAGTATACTTCATTTCTTATTACTTACTTTTTCAGGTTTTTTGCATGCTCTGAGTACAGTAGTGAATAATAGTAAGTAAGAAAAAGACTGTCCCTGCCCTCATGAAGCTTTATTTACTGCTGGGCACATGTTTCTTAGAAGTGGCCTTTTTGGTGTGGCATTTTTGATGCTGTGATTTTTAGACACAACTCTCTTGGCAGTGGTCACTTTGACTCCTGGTTTGTTTGTTTTTTCATGGTTACTTTTTACATGCTAGTTTGGTTTTTTGCTCAAATATTCATCTCCGTCAATTCAGCAATTTAAATAATTTTTGCAGTGATAATTTTTTGTGTCTGATTTTTTTTTTTTTTACTTTTTTTAAATCCTTACCTGAGGATATTTTTCTATTTATTTTCATATAGAGCGTGAGAGAGTAGGAGAGAGAGAAACAGCAAAACTGGCCAGGGCCTGTATCTAAATTTTAACTGTGACCAGTTAACTTAGGACATTCATGATCCTTACTTCACTTTAGGGAGATAAGACCTGCAATGACAGATCACTCTTCTATACACCTCAGCTCAACTTGAAAACAGTGTGTAACCACAGACAACAAACTGGTCATGAATTGTAAATACTACTCAATTGGAATAGAACGTTACCTAATCAGCAAACTACTGAACACATTTTGCACTGTGTCATTATATTGCTAGAATATCTGACAAAAAACTGAAAAGTTAATGGAGTGAATTACAGACCACAGGTAGACTTGAAATCATTTTTCTTTTATATCTTTTTCATTCTTTATGACATGGTAACCATTAGCTTCATTCAGTCTCTTTGTCTCCCAAACATGTTTTCCTTATTCTAATGTCACTAAAATAAAACAGAAACCTTCCATTTATTTTATTTATTTATTAAGGATATGGTTTAAAATCACAGAATTATTAACTGTTTATTCAAATAAATCACAATTATTAACTGCTTATTCAAAATTATCCCATCCATGATGGTGGCGTAGGTAAACACGGTATCCCATCATCCCACAACCACATCAAAATTAAACTAAACTACAACACAACCATCATTCATAACTGCCTGAAATCAAGCTGAATGGAAGTCCTACAACTACGCAATTAAAGCAGCAGCCACACCGAGAATGGTAGGAAAGGTGTGAACCAGCTAGTCCCACACCCACGTGTGGCAGATAAAAATCAGGAGGTTCACCTCAGCTGGGAAAGTCTTCCCTGAGGAGTGAGGGGTACCCGCCCCACACCAAGTGCCCAGCTCAGGGTTCCAGTGCAAGGAAGAGAAGTCCCCATAACTTCAGGCTAAAAAAACCAGCAGGAACTGAGGCTCAGGGAAGCTAAGGTTGCTGGAGCCCCAGACAGTTCTTCTTAAAGGCCCACACACACACTCGGGCTCCCTCCCTCTAAGCTCAGAGGGGAGGCAGCTTGAGTGGTACCAGAGACATACAGGGAAGAACTGAGCTGTTTGGCATTGGAGAGGGGGCTTTTTCCTGGACAGGCGTTCTGGCAGAGGCTGATGTTCCTTTGGTTAGCCCTTCCCTGAGGTGGCAGACAGTCGCCATATCTGGGACTCCAGCAACCTGGCTCACACGGTTTGCCCCGCCCTGGTGATTCCCTGAGGCCCTGCCCTACCCAAGCTGTTTCCAAAGGATTTACCATAGGATTGGCCTGTCTTGGATCTGCTTCAGAGTTTCCTAAAATCTCTCAAACAAGCAGCATCTGGTCTCAGGGAGCCCCGTACCTCTCGTTAAGTGGCCCCAGGCCTGGCACTAGAAGCAGCCAGCCCTGGTTCACCACTTGGCTTTGCCTGGACACCTCTAAGCCCAGCACAAGAAGCAGCCATCTGCAGATCACTTTGTAGCTTGTGCTGGTGGCCCCAGATAGAACACAGGCAGTGGCTGACCTTGCCCCAGAGCCAGCATACCCAGTGGACATCTTCAGACCACATCAAAACACCACCACCCAACCACCTCCACAAGTGACACACTCAATGAGTGGACTCAGTCCATACCAGAGCCCTGATGAAGTAAGTCTTGCTCTGTGTGGTTGACCCCTACGCAGTTGATCTTCCAAGGTAGTCAGAGGCCAGTGGTCAGTGGGCACAGCCAGTCCTTGCAGCTGAACAACCTGAGTAAATCCTTCCCACTGATGTGCCAACAGCAATCAAGACCCAATTACAACAGAAGGGTGTACAGTCCACATTAGGGGTGCATCTCAAGGGCCCAGCTGGGGTGATCAGGGAGGCTGTGCCACTGAATCCTACAGGATACCTACAGCAGTAGGCCACCCTACAAAGCCTAGGAGATGTAGCAACTCTACCTAATACATAGAAACGGTCACAGGAAAGCAGCCAAAATGAGGAGACAAACATGTCCCAAATGAAATAACAAAACTTCAGAAAAAGAATTAAACAAAATGGAGAAAAGTAAGCAATCAGAGGCAGAGTTCAAAACACTGGTTATAAGGTTGCTCGAGGAACTTGGTGAGACATTCAAGGAACTTAGTGAGACTTTCAAGGAACTTAAGAAGACCTCTGAGGAACTTAGTGAGAACATCAGCAACATCAAAAAGGACCAGTCAGAAATGAAGGATGCAGTAACAAAAATAAAGAATAATTTATAGGGAATCAATAGTAGAGTAGGTAAAGCCAAGAAGCAAACCGAATCCAGAAAAATGAAGATAGTGTAAGGAGCCTCTGGGACAACTTCAAGCATGCTAACATTCACATCATAGGGGTGCCAGAAGGAGAAGAAAGAGAACAAGAAATTGAAAACGTACTGAAACAATAATGACAGAAAACTTCCCTAACTTGGTGAAGGAAATAGACATACAAATCCAGGAAGCACAGAGAGTCCCAAAAAAGATGAACCTAAAAAGGTCCACACCAAGAGACATCATCATCAAAATGCCAAAGGGTAAATACAAAGAATCTTAAAAGCAGCAAGAGAAAAGCAGTTATATACCGACAAAGGAGCTCCCATAAGACTGTCAGCTAATTTCTCAAAAGAAACTTTGCAGGACAGAAAGGAGTGGCAAGAGGTATTCAAGGTGATGAAAAGCAACAACCTACAACCAAGATTACTCTATCCTGTAAAGCCATCATTTAGAATTGATGGACACATCAAGAGTTTCCCAGACAAGAAAAAGTTAAAAGAGTTCACCACCACCAAACCAGTATTATATGAACTGTTGAAGAGTCTTCTTGAAGGAGAAGAACAACAAAAATATAAACAATAAAATGGCAATTAATACATGTCTATCAACAATGGAATCTACAAACAAAATGAGCAAGCAGAACAGAAATAGACTCCTAGATACAGAGAACTTTTTGTTGCTTGCCAGATGGGTGGAGGTTGGAGGGATAGGTGAAAAATATGAAGGAATTAAGAAGTACAAATTGGTTGTTAGACTAATGAACCTAAAAGGGAAGGGGGAGGGAGGGTAGGGTGAGATAAACCAAAAACTTCTATGCATATGTGCATAACCAATGGACATCGACAATAGTGTGGGGAAGGCAGGAGGGGGGGCGGGATTGGGGAGGAGCTGGACAATGAGGGGAGGAAAGGGAGACATCTGTAATACATTCAACAATAAAGATGAGCAAAAAAATATAAATAAATAAAAAAATTACCCCATCCCTCTCCACCATCAAAACTCATTTGCCACATCCTTCATGGGGATTTGAATATTTCATTCTTGTTTGCCCTTTTTTTCTGCTATATTTTTATTTTTGCTATTGTACTCTTCACTTGGATTTTTAAGTGTTGACATTTTTGCCACACTTTATCTGATAAATGATGAGTGGCTTATGGATGGAAGAATAGAATAGAAGCTACATACATACACACAAACATACATTTTAATGATGTTTAATTTGAAAGTAAATTAAAGACATAATGTCATTTCCCCTCTAAATACATAATCACAATACCATCATCACACCCAAGAAATTTAATATCGATGCAGTAGTAACTGATACTCCATATTCAAAGTTCCTTAGTTGTCAGAAAAATAATGTCTTTTGTGGCTATTTTATTTCTCTGATCCACCATCCAACCCAGGATCATTCACCACATGTGATTGTCATGTCTCTTAACCTAGAAAGTCTCTTCACTCTTTTTCATCATTCATGCATAATGACACTTTTGTAGAGTCCAGACCAGTTGTCTTGCTGAATATCCCATGATCTGGATTTGTCTGATTGTTTTCTCATTATTAAATTCATGTTAACATTTATGGTGGATATATAGTTTCAAAGTTTATATTTGATAGCGTTTTTGTTTTCTTTTTATCACCTAGGATTACTTATACCTATATTTTACCTTCAGATCTTCTGTTTAGCTGAATGTAATTTATTTTGAGTCCACAAAATATGTGCAAACTTTTCTAGTTATATTTAAAGCAGGAATACATAGGTACTTAGTGCCTCCTCTGGGAATAAAGTACATGGGCTTTAGATATATTTTGGTCATTTAAAACCTTCCAAAACTTGTTCCTAGATCCCACTGCATTGCAAATAAATAGAATTATTTAATATAAAAGTTCTCAAAAGCAAGATATAACCCTAATTCTAAACTTCTGTATGTATGACATAAGAGATCACTGAAACGGTATTGTATTTACCAGGACAGTGTGGTATAGCCTAGTTCTTCAATAGGGACATTTCTAAAAAAGATTTTCCTCTCTCCATACAATGGCAGAAATAACTGTTTGGGAGGATGTGTTGTTTTGGAGATGTTGCAGATAAGTCTTTTATTAATGTTTTTATTTTCTTTTACTTTCAGCTCTAATGTTTTCATATGAAGTTACAAAAATTTTGTTTTTAAAATATACCGCATCGTGTAATATATGCCTAGCTTTACAATTTACATGTATTGTGTAGTTAAATCAGGAACTGAATTTCTCAGCCTAGTGACATCATGCCTATTGGATTCCTACCATGGAAAAGTACTGTGCCAAATGGTTTGACATATATTCTGTTGTTTAATCTTCAAAACTAGGGACATCAAATAATTTCCTCAACTCAGAACTGTTCATTGGCAGAGCCAGCCAGGATTTACACTCTCCCCTCTTCCCCCCACCAAATTATGTTCTACCTTTTATAAGTCTTATTTCAATGATGACCCCATGATCCACCAAATTTCCCAGACAAAAATGTGTGTCTCATCCAGGCTTCTCATTCTCCCATAGCCCTAGACAATAAAAACTTCTAATTAACTTAATAAATGTATCTAAAATCCATCCACACCTTTCCATTCCTACTGATAGTGTTTTAGTTTAAGAATTCATCATGTCTTGCCCAGCTGGTGTGGCTCAGTGGTTGAGCGTCGATCCACGCACCAAGAGGTTACCAGTTCGATTCCCAGTCAGGGCACAGGCCCAGGTTGTGGGCCTGATCCCCAGTGGGGGCATGCGGGAGGCAGTGGATCGAAGTTTTTTCTCATAGATGTTTCAATTTCTCTTCTTTCCTCAATCTCTAAAATCAATAGAGGAAAAAAAATGTTTTTAAAGAATTAATCATGTCTCATCTGGACCATTTCAACAGCCTTCAGATTTGCTCTCTCCGATGTATCTTTCACACAATTGCTACCAGAGTAATTCTTTTTAAAACACAAATATGAACATTTTACTCTCCTGCTTTAACCCTAACCTCAGTGGTTACCCATTACCAAAAAGACAAAACTCCAGAGAACTGGATTCAAACCTTTCCACCCTCACATCCATTATTCTCATAATTCACACACTGTTGAGTACAGCTGATCTCCCTAGAACTCCTTCATGCTTCCAGGGCCCACCCTGCTCCCGCTGCCTCGCAGGAATTGCTCTCGTAAAAGCCTTTCTCTTACTTACTCTTTGAGAATTGACTTTACTGTCATCCCCTCTAGAAAAGCCTATTCAGCCCAGGCTTTGTCCTGTCCCAAATTTAGTATGTCCTCCTTTTGGCAACCATAGCAGCCTGTTTTATGTTGGTTATTTGGGGAAGGGGGGTGGATAGAAATTATTGTATTGGTCTCTTCACTAAACAGATATTGCCTAAATCTTACCATGTGCCAGGCACTCGCTAGTGCTGAGACTAGGAAAAGGAAAACACTTTCCTATCCTCAAGTAGTTTATATTCTAATAGAGATAATATGTAAACAATATAGTATAATAGGATTGCTGCAGGGCATCCTCAAGATACCTGCCATGATTTTTCAATGTAAAAACTGTAAATCTTAGAAGCAGAATTTTCATTTGGAATATTTTACTTACTTTAACCAAAATAAACTTAATGAATTTTTAACAATGACCTTTCCAAGCAGCTTCTTTAGCCCAATGTGTGTTGTTAAACCACTCTTAGGGTGTTATAGGAGTTTCAGATGCTTCCTATAGAAAATAAAATTATTAAAGTTTTGACCATTTACACATCAGATTATGATTTTTAAAAACTTCTTAAGCACATTTTACCAATAGCAAAGAGTGAAGGGTATGAATTATTATAATTAGTCAGATGCCTTATATAAAGTGGCATTCATTGTGTTGAGATTGATGCATATGTAGCATTTGAGAATTTAAATTATGAGCTTAATCTTATTAAAATCTAATCTATAAGGAGATCCACCTTAAAGTCTATAATACAACAGTAAAAGAATATTCTGAAATTATGTTACAGAACATACAGCCAAGAACCAGTCTGTCTCCTGACGTTGGATCCAGATTGCAGAGAAAATACTGATGAAATAAACAGTAACTATAAATGGAATCATTATTTTTGAGAATCTCCTATAAATATATCATATATTTATGCAATTTGTTAATGATTAAAACACTATAACCATAAAATAAAGGTAAATTATAACATGGATAACAGAGAAATTAACTAGTTTATATTTTTGCTACAAATTATACTTTATTGTGTATTTTATTGATAAATACATTTTTAATTAATGGAAGTACTTTATTATTTTTAATGAGCATGGTACTGGAAATAAATTCATTTCAAAAGAAAATGAAGGCTAATTTGTTATTCAGATTATGTATTAGGTACAATTGAGAAGCTTTGTTTTTCTGAATTTCCTAATAAATTCTATTAAATTTTTGTACAGTGGTATAAAAGTTTCTGATTAATAATATCCCTCATAAATAGTAGAGCTATTTTTTTAGGACTCGGAAGCATCTCCATATTTGGAGATGTTACCAAGTGGTCTTGTTCTCAATTCTGCATGTTCAGAAGTTATAGTTATCACTATATACAAGGGTGATTGCTGTAAAGAGCTGCCTACACTAACAAAGGTGAAGTATACTGAATGTGCCCTGGTTGGTTTGGCTCAGCAGTTAGAGCGACGGCCCACAGACCTGAGAGTCCTGGGTTTGGTTCCAGCTAAGAGCATGTACTTCGGTTGCAGTTTGTCCCCCGCCCCAGTTGGGTTTGCGTGGATGGCGACCACTTCTCACATCGATGTTTCTCTCTCTCTCCCTCCTGCTCTATCTGGAGATAAATGCAAAAATGTCCTTGGGTGAGAATAAAAAAATTAAATTAAAAATTTTAAAAAAATAAAGTATACTGAATGAAAACCAGAGCATGGTAAGGGGACAGAGAGTGATGGCAATACCATTTTATTTTATTTTAATTGATTTTTAGAGAGAGAAGAAAGGAGAGAGAGAAATATCATTGTGAGAGAGAAACATCCATTGGTTGCCTCCTGTCCATAGCCCCACCAGCAATCAAACCCGCAACCCTGTCATGTGCTGGACCAGGAATTAAATCAGCAACCTTTCTGAACTGGGCACAATGCCCAACCAACTGAGCCACACCAGCCAGGGTCATAGTACTATTTTAGATAGAGAAAGGCAGAGTATCAGAGAAGGTCTCTGAAAAGGTACATTTGAGCAAATATCTGCATGAATTGAAGTAAGAGAGCTAACCTTGGTGGCAGGAGGAGAACAACATTCTACACAGAGGGAACAAGTACAAAAGACCTTATACAGGAACATGCTTAGTGTGTTTAAAAAATAGAAAGGCTAGCTTCCTTTTCCAGTGTCGGCCCGGAGTGGTGAGGATCTCTTGAGTACGCTCGCAGAATGCCATCCAAGGGTCCTCTGCTATCTGTACAGGCCTTCAGATGCAAGAAGACAGCTCAGCTGTGACACTGCAAACGAGGCAACGGCCTCATCAAGGTGAGCAGGTGGCTCCTGGAGAAATCGAGCCATGCACGCTGCACTACAAGCTATTGGAACCCATTCTGTTTCTTGGGAAGGAGCGATTTGTTGGCGTGGACATCCGAGTCCTCATGAAGGTTGGTGGTCATGTAGCGCAGATGTATGCAATCCATCAGTCCATCTCCAAAGCCCTGGTAGTCAATTACCAGAAATATGTGGATGAAGTTTCCAAGAAGGAGATCAAAGACATCCTTATCCAGTATGACCAGCCCCTGCTGGTAGCTGATCCCGGTCACTGCAAATCCAACAAGTTTAGAGGTCCTGGTGCCCATCCTCGCTACCAGAAATCCTACCGATGTCTGAGGTCACCTTTATAATAAACAGTAGTCTGGGATTTAAGGTTTAAAGAAAAAGGAGAAGAAAAGAAATAGGCTAGCATGGCTAGTGAGCAGTGAGCAAGGCAAAATTTGTGGGAATGAGGTTACAGAGGTTGCCACCAACAAGCAGGATGATGTAGGGCTTGTAAACCATGGAGTAATGTGAAGGAATCCTTTGTGATTCTCTTAAAAGGATCACTCTGGTATCTGGAGAAAACACTTAGGGGAGGGAAAGATGGTGGTAAGTATTTAAGGAGCAGGATCAATTAAAGAGTTTTTGCAATAACCTAAATGAGAGAATTTTGTGGCTTGAATCCGGTTAGTAATGGTAGTGCTAATAAGAAGTGGTCAAAAAAAAAGCCTGGCTGGTGTGGCTCAGTGGTTGAGCATCAACCCATGCACCAAGAGGTCACCGATTCAATTTCTGCTCACGGCACATGCCCAAGTTGTGGGCCCAATCTCCAGTGGAGGGCATGCAGGAGGCAGCCAATCAATGTTCTCACTCATCGATCTTTCTATCTCCCTCACCCTTCCTCTCTCTCTAAAGTTAATAAAGAAAAAAAAAAATTGTAAAGTGGTCAGTTACAGAATATATTTAAATGCTTATGATGGATTGGATGTGAAATATAGAAGAAAGGGAATCAAGGATAATTTCAGCCTGAGTAGCTATGTGAATAATGGAACCATTTACTGAAATGAAGAATACGAGAGGAGAAGCAAGTTTGGGTCGAAAAATCAATTTTTTAGGTTTAAAATGCCTACGGAAGTAATTAAGCCCTGTAAATACCTTGATTTAGTCCACCGAAACCCATTTTAGATTTCTGACCTTAACTGTAAGCTAATACATTTGTATTGTTTTAAACCACTAATTTTGTGATAATTTGTTACAGCAACAATAGACAACTAATACACCATTTTACAAACTCGTGGGTTCTGGGGATTAGAGTGTGACCATGTTTGGGGGTCATTATTCTTTCTACCATAGCCCACCTTCTAGCCCCCCAAAGATACACATTCACCTCACATGCAAAATACATTCACCCCATCCCAATGTCCCCAAAACATCTCATTAGATTACAACATTAACTCAAAGTCAAAAATTTCATCTGAATCTCATCAGATCAAAAGTTCCAAATCTTATCATCTAAATTAGGTATAGGTGGGACACAATTCCACTCCATCTACCTGTGAAACTCAAAACCCAATTTACCTACTCAAAATACAACAAAAGTGCTCGCTTTGGCAGCACATATACTGGGGTTGGAAGGATACAGAGAAGATCAGCATGGCCCTTGCCCAAGGATGACATGCAAATTCGTGAAGCGTTTCATATTTAAAAAAAAAAAAAGAAAGAAAAGATACAACAAAAAAGTGGGCTAGACTCAGGAAGGAGGAGTGAAAACTGGTGGAAGAAATATCAAATACATAATATATGCAGATGACACCATTTTACTGGAAGAAAGTAATGGTGATTTTGAAACAACTTATGAATGTGAAAGAAGAAAGTGTGGAAAGTCAGAAAGTTGACTGTATTTGAAAATCAAGAGGACAAAAAAATCTGCCCTGGCCAGTTTGGCTCAGCGGTTAGAGCATCGGCCTGCAGACCAAAGAATTGCAGTTTTGATTCTGGTCAAGGGCACATGCCTCAGTTTCGTTTCAGTCCCCAGTCCTGGTCAGGGTCGTGCAGGAGGCAACCAATCGATTTCTCTCCCCACCCCCACCCCCCGCCCCAACACCACCACCACTTCTCTCAAAATCAGTAAAAGCATGTCCTTGGGTGAGGATTGAAAAAAGGAAATATGACAAATTGAAGCCGTTCTCCTTAGAGCACATCATGAGAAGGCAGGCTTCTTTGGAAAAGACATCATGCTGGGAAAGTAGAAGGCATCAGGCAGAGAGGAAGACCAAATATGAGATGGATTGACTCCATGAAAGAAGCCATGGGCCTGAGCCTACAGAAGCTGAGCTGGGCTGCTGCGGACAGGACACTGTGGATGTCACTCACTCACAAGGTCACCAGGAGTCAGAGCCTAGGCAACCCAAGTTCCACTCTCCACTTAGCTTCAGGACATAATTCACTAAGCATTCTGCCACTCTATAACAAGGATGCCCTTTCCTCAAGTTTTCAATAACATGTTTTTATTCTGAGTCTTTATTAGCAGCTCCTTTAATATTCCACATTTCTACCAGACGTCTGTTCATGATGATGTCTGTTATCATTCTCCAAACTGATAAGTTTTCTCTACCATACTCTTCACCTCCTTCTGAGTCCTCACTGACAGAGTCATTAACATCCTCAGTTCTTCTAATGTCTGTTCATGGCACTCTAGGCTTTTCCTACCTTGCCCCTAAAATTCCTTCAGCCTCTTCCCATTGCCATTTCCACATTTTTAGGTATTTATTACAGCCACACCCACATTTTCAGGTTAGAATTGCCCAAAAGAGGAAGGTGGAAGTGACCAGAAGCTATTATTCTTAGGTCACCATGGTCAGTCACACTGATAGACACGGAGGTGCCCAACAAGTCCCAGCTTATCTTCACTCTTCTTTCTACAGCATCTTCCAACTGTGGACACTGCTGAGCAACAGCAGCCCCAGCCCCTCATCAGGCACCAGGCTGCAGACCCACAGAGACAGCTTCTCCTCAGGAGAGTTTTCCCACATGAGGCAGTTTCCATAGATTCCCCCAAGTTCCCTCTTCCTGCTTCCACTTTGGCAGCTGGGCATGCTTGGATTATCAGATATTCCTGCAAGCTTCAACTTGCCTATCGACACCAGTTCTTCAAAAAGCCTGAATACTGTTTCTCTGATCTTCGCTAATGAGGCTAGATTTTGATCCCCTGCCCCCCTGTACTCTGGCCCTCCAATTCTCCCCTTCCAGAATTTTATTTGCCCAGCTCCTCACATATTTAGTAAAATGTCATTTCTGTAATAAATCTCTTAGTACCATAATTCTTATAATGGCTTTGTTTTCCTGACTGATACAGTCTGATAGAGGAGACGCACAGATAATCTGGCACTTGTAAATCAGTGTAAAAAGTGCTAACTTCACAAGCTATACAAATACATCCGAGATGAATGACATTCCAAAACCTAAAAAAAAGCTTCCGAGTGCACCAAATGAATATTGCTTCAGAAAATGAAAGGGAGGAAAGGACGTCCCCAGCCGAGATGACACGGAGTCTGGGAAGGGTGAGAGAGCTGGAGCAGGGAGCAGGGGCTAGTGTTCCACAGGTTTTCTTCTGAAGGAACCCTACCTGCATGCATTTGGATGTCATTTGTAAAATTTGTCAAATGACATTCCAATGAGATAAATAGGCCAAAGAGGTGTGCCATAATGTTTGTGAGACATCCCAAGAACCTCAAATAAAAACTCACCTTTATTTCCTTTTTTAAAAAAGGATTTATATTTATATGCTATCATAGATGGACTCAGCAGCATCCTGCAAGCCAAACCATTTTCACAGTTAATCATCCCTAATACCTTTTATGAGAATGTCTTTACAAAGAATGTTTTTACAAAGGATGGTTAAAAATAGTTAAGACCCAAAGTCAGACTAGGCCAGAAAAGCTTAACTAATAAACTGGTAAAGCAGGACAAGATTTGTATTTTACTAGTACTTTTACATTTTGACACTGTCCTTTTATGAAACTGTGGTTATGACGAGAATCCCTGTGCAATACTAGCTGTAACTCCTCCAGAAAGAGGTGTCAGAATTGTGGTAACTCCAAAGTGAGCTCATTAAAAGTGACAAAAGTAGAAAGACAAATGAAGAGTAAAGATTTCTTGTGAATTAAAGTGGAAGAGAATAGTATTTTTCATGCTATAAAAGTGAAGACCAAGAATGTGATAAAATACATATATAACATGTTTAAATAAAAAATAAAAATACAATCAGTTTTAAGTTTTAGGGAAAAAAGAATTCCCTTTCAAATTGATAAGTTAAGTTTAGAGGAAATCAAAGAAAGCATCACTTTCCTTAATGAATATAATTCTAAAACTCATTACAAGTGAAAATAATCTCTTCGGCAAAAGATATAAAAAAAAAAACAAAAAAGTTTAGATACATTTGTGAGAGGCAGAGCTTCTAATAACTGATAATGAAAATTTAGACAAGTTTATCTTTAAAACCAGAATCAGGGAGGATTACTTGCTTACAAGAAGAGAACATGAAAACATATTTGGATACTTGAACTACCTAAGCATGTGTCCTGGAAATGTTTTAAGTAGATGTTTTAATTAAAGTATAACATCTATAAAGGGTGAATAAATAATATGCACATATAACTCAATACAATTTTATGAAGCTGACACACCTGTGTAACCACCATCCAGATTAAGACAGGGAATATTACTAGCATCTCAAAAGTATCACACATTACACCCCAAAGATAATTGCTATTCTGACTTCCACCACAAGAGATTTGATTGTCCACTTTGGTCCTTTATATAAGTAAAATCATAGTGGAAAAAATACATAATAATAAAATAAAATAGGCATCAGAGAAGATTACTCTGACCTCATTTTAAATCTATGTTGGCAATAAAATGCACCAACGCCAACCAATAAAAGAAAAACTTAGGGCCTACTTTTTAAACCCTGTTAGTTTGAACCAGAATGGCAATGCCTGTGTTACTGTGACCACTGACACTTGTAGAACTACACTGTGTACACATGTAAATAAAAATGTGTGTAAACACACTTGTGTATATATATATTTTTTATTTATCTTCATTGTTGAAATGTTACAGATGTCCCTTCTTTTACTCCCCATTGACACCCTCTTCCCCTTCCCGCCTCCCAACACTTGTATATATTTTGATACATTATTCCATGTACTATATTTTCTCAATGTTATGTAACTTTATCTTTTTCAATAAAAATAATTATTTAAATATATAACTAAATATAACTTGGTTTTTATATCTCTGTACATTTTCATATAAAAAATTACAAAATGTTTATTTCCCTGTTTTCTTTGACATTGAAAAAACTGGCTCTCATTATTCACAATACCTGCACTGATTTGTTTAACCCTATACACAATGGAAAGTACTTTCACAACTGCTCACTCAAACACCTATGAGAAACAAATTTACCAACTAAAGTAGAGTTTATGCCATTCTTTTTGTCTTAGTGTAAGAAAGGGATGAAAGAACAAGGGTGATGTAGTCCTGCATTTCTAAAGTGTGTATCATTCCCAAGGTCAGGGGATATACTATGGAAACTTCAATTACCCTCCAAAATTTTCTTTCTCTTTCTTTTTTGCCAAAGCCTAACTCTTCTCTCACCATCAGCAAATCAAAACAGTCAGTCTTTGGTTTTCTTTGGAGGTTGATAGCTGCTTTTTAGTGGTATGTATGGAAGGAGAGAGTGGAAGGACCAATGGAAAGATTAGGTAGAAAATTATCTCATTACATCATCTGTTCATAGCACTTTAATTTGCTATTTATTTAATATTTAATAAATACATTTATTAAATATGTATTTTAAGCACTATGTGACAGGCACTACCACAGCTAGAGAAGCAAAAATAACATCCTCTGCCTTCCAGTAGCTCAGTTTCTTGGGGGGAAGAGACATAAGTAATCAACTGTAATAGGGCTAAACTTGGCCCCAAAGGAGTGGGATAGAGAAAGCATTTACGTGCACTTATTTCTGCTTGGGAAAGTCAGGGCATTGGGGCTTGAGGTATAAGTTGGGTTCACCAGACAGAAAGAAGCACAAACAATATTCCAGGAAGGGAGAACAGTATGTGCAAGACAATACAAGTAATTTAGCATGACTTCAGCTCATGTTGCAAGTTGAGTAGTGGCTGGATATGAGGTTGAAAAGGCAGACATAAGCCAAAAACACATGAATAACTGCCTTATATTATCATGGTTTTCTTCTTACTAAATTTTAGAACATATTTTATTTTATTTATTTATGTTTTAATATGTTTTTATTTATTTTTTTAGAGAGAGAGAGGGAGAGAAAGAAACATCCCTTGATCAACCGCCTCCTGCACACCCGCTACTGGGGATGGAGCCTGAAACCCAGACATGTGCCCTGACGGGGAATTAACCAGGACCTCTCAGTCCCTGGGATGACACTCAATTCACTGAGCCACACCAGCGGGGCAATTTTAGAATATATTTTAATTCTTCAATATATCACGAATTTGGTGTGTGTCACGTAGTAGGTCCTCAAATAACATTAAATTAACAGTCCAACTTGTTTCTAAGTGTGATTTTATGTCTATCATAATCAGTTGTAAAACTAGTTCAATATATATTAAGCTATTATGTCTGATATTTTTTTAAAAAACTAATGTAATATACTGCCCTCTAGTG